CTATGGGCAGGAAACAAACTTCCCATCATGCTCCTCTTCTATGGGCAGGAAACAAACTTCCTATCATGATCCTCTTCTACGCCCCAGCAGCACTGGTCAGAGAATGGGTTCTCCAAAAACATTTGTTGACCGATGGGTTGGTTGAGGATAGACGAGGAGAAAGAAAAGAAAAACTACACAAAGAAAGAGACAAAGAGGAGAAAGGATAAAATAGAAAGTGAGGAAGAAAGACAAGAAAAAGAGAGTGGAAAGTGTAAAAGAAATGACACCAATTCTGTCATCTCCAGTCCAGAACTCTCCCCTAAGCTCTCAACCATGTAGTCGTAACAGACAATGACAAGGGGCAATGTCACCCTCAATGGGGAAAAACTGGTTCAGGTGAACAGTGAAAAAATGTTAGTTATTACAATGATTTGTAACCCACCAAAGCTCCAGTCTACTCAACAAAATCTTTCCTTAGGATATAATTTCTCTCATTTGGGAGAAATTAAAATTTTCTCCTTATGGAGGCAATAATGAAATAAAGGTTGAGAAAGCCTGCCTGAGACCCATGCAGCCTGCTTATCCTCACCACTCGACTATTCCAAAACCAGATTCAACACTTTCCCCCAAACATGCTCATCTTCCTCTATGCTATCCCAGGCTCCTTTTCTTTTACCCCCAAATCTGTCATTGCTAGTTCCTTAATACTACTCCAATCTGTTCTTGCCTCTCCATTACCAGGACTGCGGTCTAATTTATTTCTTCATTCGTTTACTCATTCATTCAGCAGATATCTACAGAGCATCTACTGTACGCCAGGCACTGTGCTAGTCACCAAATACGGCAATGAACAAGACACAAGTGGTCCCTGCCCTCATGGTGCTGAATTCTAGGAGGCAGAAGAAACACAGAACCCAATTTATAAACAGACCATGTCAGCTGATGATAAATGCAGGGCAGAAAACAGAATGGCTCTTTCATAGAGAATGAGGGTGGCAGTACCACTTGAGCCGAGACATGGATGAACGGAGGAGCCAGCCGTGCTCGGGTCTGGATTACTGAAATAGCTCCCACTGTCTTCCTCTTTCCACTTAGGTCCCCTGCATTCTGTCCTCTATGTGGGCAGTGGTGATGATCTTTCTGAAACATAAAACTAAAGGCTGAACCCAGAACACGAGTGAAACACCTCAGGGTGTCACACAAAGCCCTCCATGATCCAATGTCCCTCGCTCCTCTGACCTTCTCTCTCCACCTGCTCTGCAGATACACACCGTGTGTTCCCAGAGTCCTTCACTCTCCTTGTCCACTACTGAGCTTGACATCCCTGGGCCCCGTTTGGAGTGTCCATCTTAAACTCTCTATCCCTGACTCACTCTTCAAGCTTTAGTTCAGTCTCCCCTGACTCTCCAGTCTGAAGGAAATATTACCTCCCCTACGCCTAGTGCCCACTGTCCCTTCCTGTGGTAACGGCTTTCTTGGGTCATCAGTGCCCCCCCTTCACCCCAAGTCCTTGTGATTTGTGGAGCCAATTTTTCCCTCCCAGCTCCAGGGGCACAATATAGGCCTAACACAGTCAAAGCTACCCATCCCCCAACCCTATTGATTCAAGGAAAGCAAATTGATCCAATTAAGGCCAATGAGAGTCAAACCCAAGACTTCTATTGAGAATGATGGGAAAAGAAATCTTTCCCTTTTTCATTAATGTAAAGCTTGGGAAGTGTAACCTGGGGCCACCACAGAGAAAAATCTTGCCCAACAGTAAAGCCAACAGAGGAAAGTTAGGCTAAGAGATGGATAACATCTTTTGAGCCCCTGGATCCAGCCATGCCTGAAGTCCATCCCTGGTCTTTCCAGTTACCTGAGCCAAAAATTCCCTTTCATTGCCTAACCCAGTTTGAGTTGAGATTTTTGTCACTTTCAACCAAATATCAATTTGACATTATAATTGGCTTTATGTTTGTCTTTTCCTCCCCACTCCCCTGCCCATGAGATTGTAAATTCATAAGGGGAAAATGTAGCTATCTCTGAGAACTAGCACACAGTAAGTACTCAGTAAATATTTGTTTGAATGAATGAAGATAATAACAGCAAAAGAAGGTAGAGGGAAGTAAATAAAGAGAAAGGGAGAGAAACGGTGTCTAAACCATGTTTGTAAAGCAGGGCTTCCCCGCAGGCCTGAAAGCCCACACTTCCTGGAGGAACCACCCATGGCTCACATCAGGTCTGATTCCCCTGGAGCCTGGCACAGCTGTGAGGCCATTCCAGATGGGACCAACTTCACTGGTATCCACTCAGGCTTCAGTTGCTTTGGCTTTGGTTTTTAAATAACAAGAAAAGCAAGATGGTCTGTCTAAAATGTCTATGTGAGCCTCAGAATTTAAATCCTGATTCTCAAGGGCTTATCAGTCTAAGGCATGCTCCACTCTGCCTCTGGTTGCTCAGGAAAGCCCAGGGGAGAGAATCACTTTGGCTTGGGTGATTCCCACCAATCTTACCACTGAGCCAGAAAGAAAGACCAATGCTCACTTACGGGAGAGCCGCCAAGAGGAAAGGCGGCATAGACATCCTGGAAACTTCCCAGTATTTCCACGCCAAACAATTAACCTGAAAGATCAAGCAGTTCTAGGAATTTGGTCCAATAAGAATAAGAACAAACACAGACAGTGCCATCTGTGTGCCAGGCACTGTTCTGAGGGCGCCATCTGCCTTCACTTATGCAATTGAGTACCCTATGATGTAGGTACCTCAGTGGTGCCCAGATCCTGGAAACTTCCCAGTATTTCCACGCCAAACAATTAACCTGAAAGATCAAGCAGTTCTAGGAATTTGGTCCAACAAGAATAAGAACAAACACAGACAGTGCCATCTGTGTGCCAGGCACTGTTCTGAGGGTGCCATCTGCCTTCACTTATGCAATTGAGTACCCTATGATGTAGGTACCTCAGTGGTGCCCAGTTTACAGATAAAGAAACTGAGACAATGACAAGATGAATACGAAGATTTAAGTGTGAGAACACTCATCACAATTTTCTCTATCACTGCAAGAAAGTGAAATATAACCTTAATGTCCCTGAGTAGGGGACTGGTTAAGTAAATTAGTGTCTATTCATACACTGAAATACTATGCAACTCTTTTGTTTTAATAAGGTAGATTTATATATATATTTTAACATTAAGTGATATCTATCCTGTATATGTGTGTGTGTATAACATACGTAGTTAAATAGAACAGCGTGTATAGTATGAGCTCATTTGTGCCTGTTACATTGCATGTAAATGGGTTTTATATATACTACTCTTGAGGTCAACAGCAAACTTTTCCCTGTAGTTACCTCTGGAAAGGGTTGCCCAGCCTCAGCACTACAGACATTCTGGGCTGGATCATTCTGTGTTGTGGGGACTGTCCTCTGCACTGTAGAGTGTTGAGCAGTATCCCTGGTCTGTACTCACTAAATTCCAGGAGCAATCCCCCTCCCCAAGTTGTGAAAACCAAAAGTGTCTCCAGTTGTGGCCAAAAGTTCCCTAGGGGGCAAAATGGTACCTGCTGAGAACCACTGCTCTATGGAAAATATGGGGAAATTTTACTTTCTCTGTATTGCATTATTTTTAAAAATAATAATTGTGTGTTTTCAGTAAAAAATATAAACAATACAAGTGAATCTTCTAATTTACTGGTATTTGAAGTTTCTGAGAGCTGGAAGTCTAGGGAGGCACCTGCGTTGGGACAAGTCTTCCTGCTGCACAGGTAGGTCTTCCTGAAAGCGAGTCTGACCTCCATCCATCTGCTCAGTTATTGGCTTCCCCACCTGGGCAGGACTTTTAATATAGCTCAATAGTTCTCACCAAGGAACGGATCAGAAATGCAAATTCACATGCCCCATTCCTCACCTACCGTATGGGAAACTCTGGGAGTGGGGCCCCCATCTGTGAAGTCAGTTACTACCTCTGGTCTCACCGAAGGGTTAGAGTCTCCATAACCATTTGGAAAAAGAAGTTGTGAAAGCAAAAGAAAATGCTCTTAGAGTATTGTTCCCCTTCACAGCTACCCCTTGAGAGGGCGGGAATGTTAGATAAGGAATGTTAGTCCCCAGAGAACATAATTCTGAATACAAATGGTATACCTTGCCAATATATTTTAAGGCTCAAATGTGAGCATGGAATAGCCTGTTGAA